TCCCCGGCACCTGTTATGGTGCCCAAGTCCTGCTAGAAGTGACCCCTGAGCACAGAGCCAGCAGTAAGCCCTGAGCACCAAAATGAGAGGGGGAAACAAAAAAAGGGAATGAAAGACTCTTCCTGGGCTTTCCTTGAGGCATCAGCCAGGTATTTCCACAATGACAGGGGATGGATCTGTTATCTGGGAACAGATCTGCTCAAGGAGAGCTGTCTTAGATGAGGAGGAACCGCTGGCACTTTCCTTGCAGGGGCACCTGTAGTCTGCTTAGACAGCGCGGGTGAAGGTTAGCTGCTTGCGGGGATGACCAGGGGCCTCGCATAGGGCTGCACTTTCATCTGCGAACTCATCGTTGCTCAATACAGTTTAAAAGACTTCAAGCATTTCAATCATTCCTACATCATCGAGCCATGAATCCAACACCAGCTTATGGCCCGTGTATTTACCATGAGTCATTCAAAGCATCCCTGAAATCCTCAAAAATAAGCAATTTTCTTTACTGCTTGCAAATCAGCCTTTGGGGAAAGCAGGGCATCATTTCTGGTCGAAAGCTTGATAATCAGGCAAGGGATTTTTCCTGGATATTCAGTATGTAGCCTCCCTCTTCCTTCTAGCTTTATAAGTAGGTGGGCAGCCACCAGGCAAACTGAAACTTGGCCCCAGGAGCCAACCCAGGGAAGGCCAAGCAACGGAAGCCCTAGTGAGTCTGGACCAGTGCTCAACCTTCTTGGTCCCTGCCCCAAGCCCCATGACCCTGGTGGCCCCAGTTGCCCACACCAGATCTCTCAAAATTAAATGACATTATGTTTCAGCCTCTAGGGAGATGGAGCTGTCAAGGAATCTTTCCTGGTTTTCTAACCCTACATAATTGCTCCAGGATTATAAATTTATTTAGACAGTGTCTTTAAGTCCATGTCTGCTTAGTAAAACAAAAATAAAAATTGCCTTTAAAAAACCTTTTCTGTTATCGTCATAAGTGCACGGTTCAGTGACCTTGAATATATCCACGTTGTTTTGCAACTGCCACCATTAGTCATCAACAGAATTATTTTCACCTTGGAAAACCAATACTCTCTGACCATTAGCCGCTTACTCCACATGGTGCCCTCCTTCTTCTGCCACTGGCAAGCACTTTAGCGTCGCTTTGTACCAATTTGAGTCTAAGGCCGTGGAGTTATGCAGTATTTGACTTTTTTAAAGCTAGCTTATTTCACTAATAAGTCTTAGTGAAATTTCAGTAACTTCCTCAAAGTTCATCTATGTATGATATTTTCTTTCAATTTATTATTATTATTTTTTAAATTTTTATTAGTGAAATACCATGAGGTACAGTTGTAGAATTTATTATTATTATTATTTAAATTTGTTGTTACTGTGTCTGGCATATCGAATACTCTCCGTAGCTTGCCAGGCTCTCCAAGAGGGGCGGAGGAATCGAACTCGGGTCGGCCATGTTGGCCGCTTGTAAGGCGAACGCCCTACCCGCTGTGCAGAGTGATAGTACAGTGGGGAGGGCGTTTGCCTTGCAAACGGCCAATGCTGGATCCTCCCATGTGGTTTCCTTAGCACTACTAGGAGTAATTCCTGAGTGCAGAGCCAGGAGTGACCCCTGAGCATCCCTGGGTGTGACCCTCATAAGAAAATTAATGAAATTTAATTTGGGTGCTCCCACTAGTGTTCAGAAAAGCAGGCCCTCCCCCGGCATTACAGATCTGTCCATTCAGTGCTTGGGTCAGTGATGCAGATCCCATGGTTTCAGGAATGCCGGTGCCTCTAAAGCCAACTTTGGTGTGTTTGGGGTCCCATTGCTCTTACCTGGCATTGCTCAGGAAACCATGTGGTGCCAAGGATTGGACCTCCAAATGCAAGCATGAGCTCCATAGCTTTAACTTATTTCCCCCAGTCCTCTCCTTCCTTTAAATTTTTATTTTGGTTTTTGGACCACACCCAGGTGTGCTCAGGGCTAACTCCTGGCTCTGCACTTAGGGGACCATTAGGGATGCTGAGTGTCAAGCCTGGGTTGACTGCACGCAAGGTAAGCACCCTACTGGCTGTACTATAGCTCTGACCACTTTCTTTTAATATATGAATTTTAAAAATACAGCAGAAAGAGAAATCACAAATCATCCTGTTATTCGTCGATTGCCTCGAGCAGGCCCCAGTAACTTCTCCTTCATCCTAGCCCTGAGATTATATTCAAGGCTCTTTAGGAGAATGAGACCCATCATTGTTACTGGTATTTGGCATATTTGGTACGCCAAGGGGAGTTTGCCAGACTCTGCCCTGTGGGCAGGCTACATTCGGTAGCAGAAAGAGAGCTTGCCTTAAATACAGCCAACCTGGGTTCAATCCCTAGCATCCCATATGGTCCCCCATGCATGGCCAGGAGTGATTCCTGAATGCAAAGCCAGGAATAACCCCTGAGTATCACCAGGTGTGGCCCCAAAACAAAAAAAAAAAAATTGAATAATATTCTACTGTATGAGTATACCACATTTTGTTTATCTATTTATCCTTTGATATTTATCCTTGGATTACTTCCATCCTCTGGATATTGTGGAAAATACGGCTGCTAGAAGGGGTGGGAGCCATAGTACATGGGTAGGGGGCTTGCCTTGGGTCGATCCCTGGCATCACATGTGGTCCTGGGGCAACTTGACAGTGATCCCTGATCTTAGAGCCAGGAGTAAACCTTAAGCACCTTCTGGGCGTGGCCCCAAAATCAAACCAAAACAAACAAAAATGTGTTTCTATAATGAACTGATTAAAATCTAGATGCCATGGGGAAAAAGTTTACCCAAGTTATCTTTTAGAAGAGGTTGACGTCCGTTTAATATTCACTCTCCTTTGGGGGTGGCCGCCTAAGCACCTCTCTGGAGCCTGGAGGCCACTCCTAGCAATCCTCTGCCAAACCCAGTCAGATGGCTCGAAATTTGGGTCTTGGGATGTGAGGCGTTGGGGCCCCAGTGTCATTACGGTCATCAGGACCCTACCCAGTGGTATTCAGAGGCCTCTAAGGCTACACCTAATGGTGCTGCAGGGGCTGTGTTCAGCTGATAATACACTGCTGCAAGGACCCTGGGGAGCAGGCGACAACCAGGACTGTCCTGGGCAGTATGGCTGTAGCCCAAAGCAGCAATGAAGAAGCACTCCAGCAGGATGAAGTCACCAAAGGAACTGTAGAACCCCCAGAACAGCGACCAGGAAACAGTCAGCATCCTGCTGAAAAGTCACTGGATAATTATTTTTCTCAATCTTTAATCCTTTACCCCAAGTTTTAGACAAATTCCCCGCCCCCCCCCCCCCCAATTTTGTATGGCAAGGAAGGGTCACACCCAGCGATACTCAGGGATTGTTCCTGCACTCAGGAATTACTCCTGGCAGTGCTCAGGGGACCATATGGGATGTCCGTGATTGAACCCGGGTCAGCCGTGTGCAAGGCAAGTGCCCTATCCACTATACTATTGCTCCAGCAGCCCATGTTTCTATTTTTTAAAAAGCTTCTTTTCCCATTTTATTTATTTTTGAGTGTGTGGGTGTGTGGGGGGGGAGACTTGGTATCACACCCAGTGGTGCTCAGGACTTACACCTTGTTCAGGACTTACTCTTGGTGGGGCTCATGGACCTTATGGGGTGCTGGGGACCAAACCCCTGTCAGCCGCGTGCAAGGCAAAAGCTTTACCTGCTGTACTATCTCTCCAGCCCTAGACAAATTTTCTTGACATTACCAATTAAAAGATACACACACGAATATATTTCATTGTACTTATTCTGCTGAAAAATATGGTAAAAAACATATGTTGGCTTAAAAATGGACCAAAAGGTTTTTTTTTTGTTGTTGAAACCATTCTATTATTTCCAAGTTCGTTGACAAGCTGCTCTTACTACACATTTTGTCTAATTAATAGGAAATAAATTGCAGCCCCTGCACAGTCCAACTATTATGCATGCCCCAGGCTCTCACATTGTTGAACAAAAAGTAATTAGCAAGAAAGCTTGCTGCGAAGGAACCCAGGAAGTTTATTTTTAACTTTTTTTTTTTTAAGGCTGCACAAGTTCAGCCCTTATATGGGTGTGTTCAAGGGGTGGTTCGATTTAGAGCTGGCTCATGGCACAGAGAGTGAAGCTCTTGGGACGCAGTGGGGGACCCTGCCCTTGAAACCCTGCCGCAGCCCGAATTCTTTTGTTTCTTCTTCCCTTGCAACTTTCTCTTCGCAAATTGTCCAAACCGGAAACTTAGGGGATCTCTGTCATTCCCGGTGCCCTTTCCCTCCACATTTGACGGTGCATATGTTACGTTCTGCAGTTGTTTCAACACCACTGTCTCCTGCGACCTCTCTCTGCGCGCTGCCCAAGTCTGGCCAGGCCCGGTTTCCCGGGCAGCTGCAGGGAGCTGGTCTCCGGGCCTGGGGTGGGTGGGCAGCCCTAATGCCCTAATGCCCCAGGGCTGGCACCTCTCTTCGCAGTTCCTCCTTCCCTGGAGGCACGGGAGGTTCGTTTTCTGCAGCTCCCTCTAACTCTGTTAAGGCGACTCTTCCGTTTCCAGCACCTTCTCTTGCCTTCCCCGTGCCCATCATCCTCAAGGTCTTCGCGCGCGTTGGAAGCGCACGCAGCTCGGAGGGGTCCCGCTGTCCGGGTCCCTTGGGTAGGAGGCGACCCGGGCACGTGTGCCCACCGGGGCACTAGCTCCGCGCGCCCACACCGGCCCGGGGCTCTGCAAGACTCTCCCCTCCCCGGAGCCCCGCTCGCTCCTTCCGCCGCTCCCCTCCCCCCCCTGCACCCCGGGGCGCCGCGCCCCGAGCCCCGGCTGCAGCCGCGAAGGGTCCCCCGGGGCCAGCGCCCGTCCCCGCTGCTTGCCGGTGCCCCTCGGTGCCCGGCGGCGCCCGGGGCTCCCCCGCGCCGCGCCGGAAGCTCCCGCCCGGCCGCCTCCCGCCGCCGCCGCCTTATCTCGGCGCCCCGGGGTCGCACACGGAGTCGCGGGCGCCGGAGGGACGCGGCGGCATGGGCCGGGGGCCCGGGCCCGGGGTCCGCCCGCCGGGCCTCCCGCTGCCGCCGCCGCTGCTGCTGCTGCTGCTGCTCGGCCGGGCCCGCGGCGGCCCCGGAGCGCCGGGCGCGGACGGTGAGTGCGGGCGGCGGGCGCGGGCGGCGGGGCCGGGGACGCCCGGGGGTCCCCCCTGGGGGGCGCGGAGCCGCCGGGCGGTCGGGCCGAGCCGTCGGGTTTCCGGCCGTGCGCCCGCCGGGCGCGCCCCCAGCTTCCTCCCGGACCCGGTTCCTCGCCAACGTCCGTCCAACCTGCTCGCGGTGGGGGAGATGGTTCGGGGGCTGGGGCGCATGGAGGAGCCCCGGAGGGACCCCCAGCACCGCCGCGCTCCACCAGCACAGAGCCAGAAGGAGCCCCTGGGCACAGTGGTTGGACCCCAGTGGCCCGAAACACACGTAGTCACCCTTTGCTCTTTGAGAAGTCACCCACTCCCAGCCCTCACAATCCCAAACACACAACACACACACGCACACACACTTCTTCGTACCCCCCGCCAACACATGCATGCACTTCCCCCCTTTCCACTTTCCTCTAGCACACACACGCTTTGCACTTTGAGGACACACCCACCTACAGTCTTTCACAACCCCCAAGAAATACACCCTCCCCTCCTTTTCCGCTACCCTCCAACAGGCACCCACACGCACCCTTGCACTTTGAGGACACACCCACATCCTTTTCACAACCCCCCAACACATACTCACCCATCCTCTGTGACTACCCCCAAAACACACACACACACACACACACACACACTCGACTCTTGGTGCTTTGAGAAAAACTAAGTGGTAGTTGGGTGAGAAAGGGGTCTTTGGATGTTTGCGGGAGGGAAACCCCCAGCATCACCGTGTTTTTCAGCAGTGGCCCAGCAGTAGCCTGGGAGAGGGCGGTCACTTCTTCTGCTTGGGAAGCCTGTGCCCAGCCTGGGCAGTTTCTGTTCTTCTCTGAGCACTTTAGAGGAGACAAGCAGCTTTCAGGCCAAGCCCCTCTCCTAACTCAGCGCTGTTTGTGGCGGAGGTCCCAGTCCCAGCTGGGGAGGGCATTTACACAGAGCAGAGTGCCCTGGTCCTGAGAAAGTACCAGAAGACAGGTGAAGCCACTGATGGAGTGGACGGCGTGGCCCTCGAACCAGGCTCTCGGGGACTGGTGATGTTCACGTGTCACCGTGGGAGCAGAGGGCAGACACGAATATGTGTAGAAGAAACGAATCCCACCAAATGGAGGGGATGGCACAGGAAACAGGGGCAGGGCGGGTCCAAAGGCTGGATTGTGGGTCCAGTTTGATGGGTGTAGGACATGAGGGGCGGTATTGGGGCCGAGGTTGGAAGAGCAGACGGAGTATACCACGAGGCAGGGACTTGCTTGGTGTGACCCAGGCATTTAGACTGCGTTGTTCTGACTTGGGAGAAGCCTGTGAGAGCCCTTGCAGGTTTGGGGCTAGGAGTAGTCTCGGAAAAGGGGACTCTGTGATTAAAAGTGAACCCTATTCCTGGAGGGGAAGAGAATGTCCATGTAGGATGATTGGGGAGATTTGCACCCCCAGAATCCTGACTCCCCCAATTCTTTTTTTCTGTTTTTTGCTTTTTGGGTCACACCCAGCGATGCACAGGGGGTTACTCCTGGCTCTGCACTCAGGAATTACTCCTGGCAGTGCTGGGGGACTATATGGGAATCGAACCAGGTCAGCTGTGTGCAAGGCAAACGCCTTACTCACTGTGCTGTCCCTCCAGACTCCCCACCCCAATTCTTTTTGACCATGAGATTTTTACCATCTCTGCTGGATATTCCTCTTGAAGGTGCATTGGATGGTCTGGGAGGCTTTCTAACTTCCCTCCCTAACTTTCTCTATCTATCCAACTTGCATACAAGCCCTTAGGTGCTTGGAAACTATTTCAGAACGTCTGTGTTAAGGCTCTCGAGCGTCAGCTAAGGAGATGACTCAGAGAGCTAGAGACCCCCCACCCCCATCCTGCTTGGTCCCCCACAGCATCACTGGGATTGATTTCCACCCGGCGCTGGAGAATCATAGTCCAGCTGTAGACCAAAACCCTAGGGAAAAAAATGTCCGAGGTCTGGGCCCATGGGTTTGATGACAGCGGAAGAAAAGGCAATATGACTCTTGGGCATAGAAGCTGGAGAATATTCTCATTTGGCGGGAGATATTGGTGATTTTGATGAGAGAAGATTGGCTTGGGTGACTCAGGTCATCGGTGAGCCAGTGGGCACTGCCTGGGGCCAGAGTGCAGGGACTTAGGCTGCAGAGTAGGGACTTTGGAAAGCTTGAAGGAAAGAGAAGGAAACATTCACTTGGGCTGTCGAGGTCTGTGTGAGAATTTGGGGAGTGCTGGGTGAGGGCAAATAGCCAACCGAAGCATGTTTTATACTGAGGACTGTTAGTCGCTAGAGATGGATGCAAAAGTCGTCTTCCCCCAGGTTCTGAAGCTCCCTCTCAGGCCGCTTAAGCCTACATGGATGGAGACATCCGCCTGCTTTTTTCCCGTCAGAGCCTGGTACTGGACACAGGGCTCCCCTACGAACTGCAGGCTGTAACAGAGGCCCCTCAGAATCCACGTTATTCACCTTTGCCCTCATTACCAGTGAGATTAAACAAACAAACAAACAAAAAAACCATGGCGCAGACGAGTGATGGTCAGGGACCAGCAGGGCTAATTTGCTAGTGCTGGCAGGGCTGCACAGTGCCAGAAGGAAGCCAGGATGTGCAGGGTGCTAGGCGAGTGCTGTACCACTTGAGTTGTCTCTCTGGCTTCTACATGACACTTTGTTTGCTTTGGGCCACACCCCAAATATGGCCAGAGAGCACTTCCATCGGTGCTGGGGTGTCAGGGGTGCCAGGGAACAAACCGGGGATCGTCCATGTACGCCAGCCTTTGGAGCTCGTCTCTAAACTGAGATTTTGAGATTTTCAGTGGAGTTAGTTGGTGAAAAAAAGCAAAGCTGGTTTATAAACCGAAAAATTTTGTTGGGGCCGGAGCCATTGTATAGCAGCAGGTAAGGCACATTCCTTGAACATGGTCAGACCAGGTTTGATCCCCGGCATCCCATATGGTCACCAAGGAGCACCAGGAATGATTCCTGAGTGCAGAGCCAGGACTACGTCCTGAGCATCGCCAGGTGTGGCCCAAACACAAAAATGAAAACAAAAAAGTTTTGCTTGTGAAAGGAAATAGGAGACTACAGAACTGTCTTCCCGTGGGCATGAAGACCCGCTCCAAAGAGATGAGGCAAGGACTGAGTCCAAGAACTGGCTATAGCAGGCCAGCCAGCCTCCACCACTCGCAAGGGGTGGTGGTGAGAGCTTTGAGTGGAACAAAGACGCAGGTGCCAGGTGTTACCCCAGCTGGGTGCTGCTGCTAACAGCAGGTGCTCGATGTGATTTCATTGGTTCAGGAACGTCTCTTCGTCGGACTGGTTCTTGTCGGAAGGAAGGAAGGAGGGCAGAGATGAGGAACTCTGGCCATGCTGATTAAATGCTGACCCTTTGGGACAAACTTCTACAGAGGTTGTGGCTTAACTTTTTGCTGGACTAATAGCTGCAAACTGGGCGAGGGTCCTTTCTCCCCTGCCCTCCCCCCCACCTGCCTACCCGCCAGCATTGCTGGTGGACAGTGGGTGTCATGCAGGTGCAGACAGAGGACTCAGGGTCTTGAGCATCTAGGCATGTGCTCTGCCACTTAAGCTGCTTCCCGCAACCCCCTCTAAGAGTTCTCATTTTTTAAAAAAATTTTTATTAGTGAAACACCATGAGGTACAGTTGTAGATTTACAATTTTTTGTGCTTGGGTTTCGATTATACAATGATCAAATACCCATCCCTCCACCAGTGCCCATTTTCCACCACCATGGATCCCAGTATCCCTCCCACCCCCATCCCCCCATCCCCCCCTGCCACTGTGGCAGGGCATTCCCTTTTGTTCTCTCTCTCCTTTGGGGTTTTGTGGTGTACAAAAGAGGCATTGAGTGGCAATCATGTTCAGTCCATAGTCTACTTTCAACATCATCTCCCCTCCTGGGAGGATCCTCCAAACACCCTTTATTTGGTGCTCCCTTCTCTATCTGACCTGCCCGTTCCCCTAGAATGCCCAGCTGGCCGCTAAGCCATGGAGTAATCCTCCTGGTACTGATCTCCGCTATTCTTGGGTATTAATCTCCTGTTTTGTTACTTTATGTTCCCCAAATGAATGCAATCTTTCTATGTCTATCCCTCTCTTTCTGACTCATTTCGCTTAGCATGATACTTTCCATGTTGTACCACTTGTATGTAAATTTCATGACTTCATCTTTTCTAACAGCTACATAGTACTCCATTGTGTAAATGTACCAAAGTTTCTTTAACCAGTCATCTGTCTCAGGAGGGCTGGAGCGATAGCACAGCGGGTAGGGCGTTCGCCTTACAAGCGGCCAACATGGTCGACCCGAGTTCGATTCCTCTGCCCCTCTCGGAGAGCCCGGCAAGCTACCGAGAGTATTCGATATGCCAGACACAGTAACAACAAAGTCTCCAATGGAGACGGTACTGGGCCCGCTCGAGCAAATCGATGATCAACGGGAGGGCCTTTACCTTTACCTGTTCTCAGGCACTCAGGTTTTTTTTTTTTTAAATTTTTTTTCTGTTTCTTTCTTTTTTTTTTTTTTTTTACAGTTGTAGATTTACAATTTTTTGTGCTTGGGTTTCGATTATACAATGATCAGATACACATCCCTCCACCAGTGCCCATTTTCCACCACCATGGATAATATCCCCCCCCATCCCCCCCCCCCCCCCCCCCCGCCTCTGTGGCAGGGTAATCCCCTGTGTTCTCTCTCTCCTTTTGGGTGTTGTGGTCTGCAAAAGAGGCATTGAGTGGCAAACATGTTCAGTCCATAGTCTACTTTGACATGCATCTCCCCTCCTGGGAGGATCCTAAGAGTTCTCATTTTATCTCTGCTATCTCACCAAGGTCCCTTTGTGGTAACAGGCTTGAGGTCCATTTCATGCCTTCCAGGGCGGTTCTGGAGTCCCAGGGCCTGTGTGTAAGGAAGATGTGTGAGGCAGTTGGTGGGTGGGGTGCCCCGCCCCAG